TAGCGAGAACGCGGCCTTCGTCCGGTACCCAGCCAGAGCCGTCAAATCAGGAAGCCGGGCGCCGTGTAATAACGTGATGCCCTGCTATCTGATTGGCCGGGAGGCCGGCTCCATGCTCTCTTGTCATGAGATGATGAGGGAGCATGAAGCCAGCTTCCCAGCCAATCAGAAAGCAGGGCGTCACATCATTAGACGGCGCCCAGCTTCCTGATTGGAATGCTCGGGCCACATTCTCGCTGGAGAGGCCCCGGGGGATGACAGGCTGCACATACTAAGGTAAGTTAACCTTACCTCACGAGGCCAGCTTCTGGTCAATCACGAAACCGGGCAGCGTGTAATGACCAGCTGCCCGGCTTCCTGATACCGGAAGTACTCGTGCTAGGCATCGGAGCACTTGGGCGAGTACGAGTACTTGCCCAAATACTCAAAATTGGCACCGATATCGATACTAGTATCGGTGCATCCCTAGTATTTACTACACTTTACGTCTGACAACAACACTACAGGAAAGTACTGTGCATTATAAAACATTATCGGTAATAATAACACTCTATATTTTTGAGTGCACATGTTTGCACCAAATAGTAAATGTTTGTCAATCTGTATACATGTATTGCCGGCAGTTTTCCCCAGTTAGGGCTGGAATCTTATCAATCTTTTTTACATTTGTTTTTAGTTTTTTACACTCACAAAGAGTGGGCAAAATGGCTCCCACATAAAGCCTTCAAAGCAAGAATATCAACAAAAAATATTACGAAAGTAGTGGCAATGAAACACATGGAATTAAACAAAGGATCTAAAAGGTTTTATACAAACTAGTTTTCCTGGCTGGAAATACAAACCAATGTTTGAACAGATAAATAGTCTGTACTCTGTGAGTTAAGTTACTGTCAAGGAATAAAACAGTAAACTTGTTGATTGGTTAAATGCTCATTTGGCTAGCGGGGAAAGAACTAAATGTAAAAACTGACATTAATTCCCTAACAGCAGTGGGTGCTCTCTTCCACTGCCCAATGCTTGGGAATGTGGATTGGCCCGCACCATCCTACTGTACAATTAAGGATTGCTGGTCCTGCATTGTACATGATGTATGTACAGCACTACATAAAATTGTTGTTGCTATATAAATGCCTGTAATAAATAAATAATAATAATGGCATCAACAAGCTGTGATCAGCCATCCAGCTATGTGAATTGGTTTTGGGGGATTGGCTGCACATAGAAGAGGAAGCCTGCGGGCATGAGGAATAAATGTTTGTACTTATTCCTTTCCCACCTAGCAGATAAGCATTTAAACCAAGCAGTGGGGGTACCCAACTGCAAGGGACAATTTAATAGCTGCCTGGTGTGTGTGTGTGTGTGTGTGTGTGGGGGGGGAGGCGGGGGTTAAGCATTAGATTAAGGGCTAGGTTTTGGGGATAGCTTAACATTACATTTTGGGATCAAGGTAAGAGTTCGCAAAACATGCTCTCCCTGCTGCTTAGAGCTGACATTGGACACTGCAGCTGTTGCACACTGGTTCTAACTCAGAGAGCTGAGTTATAACCGCTGATTGGCCACCTGTGTCTTTTCCCCAGCGGACAGCAGTGACTGTCCCACACAGAGATTCCAGGTGGCTTTGGGTCTCAGCCACTCACAGAGAGGCAGACCCAGCTGTCAGTTAGGCAGCCAGGGTGGATACCAACAATATTGCTGGAATCTTTCTCAGCTACAGCGCAATTCTAATGAGTGTAAACCCACTACCTGGTGACTTTGGGTCACAGGAGTACATTAGTATATGCGCTCCTGTCACCTAAAAGAGAAGAAAAGCCAAAAAAAAAGTTAAAAATGCATATTTAGGATATGTGTTGAGGTTTATGAGTTAGGTTCTCGGTTAGGTTAACAGGTTTAGATAAAAAGTTACTGTGACGATGTGGTCAGAGGGGAGGTACAATGCTCCATATATTTTGGTCATGCCCTGGAATCGTAGGATTCTGGGGGGCAGTCACAATGTTGCTACAAAAATTTACAGACCATACTATCTCAATGGCCCCGGCATTCTTTCTCCTGCACCACAATACGATACCTAAACGATCAGTGTTGCCAAATATGATCAAAGCGGCGAAAGTCTGCATCCCGGTGTTGTGGCGGGACACTCATCCCCCAACGGTGGGCATGTGGCTGAATAGGGTTAATGAGATCTGGAGAATGGAGGACATGACTGTGTCCTCCATGGGGACACATCACATTCTGCAAAACTTAGTCCTCTTGGGCAGCATTTTTCTTCTCTCCGGAATACCAGGCATGTGTCACCTCAAAGGAATCTACCAGCCCTCGGAAGAACTGAGTGCATAGGGGTCGGGGACCCACTGTGAGTGAGGTTATTCTTCCCCACCCCCTTCTTTGTCTATGCCTCTAATCCTGCTTGTCTCTCTAACTTTTGTCTCATACTTGTTATATTCATACCTGCTACGTTAGGAGCCTGGGACTATTATTTTTGTATTGCTCACTACAGGCTGTCCCGGGTATGTCTACATACAATTTTGAATATCTCCATCCGAATTACAGTTATGACACGGACTTCGGCTGGAGACGGTTGGACCGTGCATGTCTCGTGTTTCTTCTACCCTCTTCTCCTGCTACTTTCCCCTCCTATTATTGTATGTTGTTTACAAAACTTGAAAATTAATGGGATACATACTTTAGAGTTAATACCCATTATCTGCATTGAAGTATTGTCCTTGAATTGGAAGTATATTGCTGTGTTTTTTGCACTGTATATGTATGGCTATCCTGTTTCATAAAATAATGAATTTGAAAAACAAAAAGTTACTGTGACTAATGTTACTACTTAACAGAAAATTTACAAATAAACATTATGGCAATCATAACAAAATTCTACAAGTAATATATGTTGTGAAATTTCATTTCACTACAGGCAACCAGAATGACATATTTCAAACATGCCAAACATCCTGGTGTGACTGTATGAACTACAGTGTTTTAAAATAATGAATTCTCATTAGTATCTAACAGTACACTGATTGTTACAATCATGTCAGTAAGGGCTTGTTCACACCAAGTGTGGAGCAGAACGCATAAAAAATGCATCCAATGTATTCCAATGGTATTTTGGGCTCTAGTTCACACCACAGCGTTCAGTTCCAGAGCATGTGGAAAAACTGCAGCATGCACTATTTTTTCTGCTCCGGAATGCACAAAAACACATGCAAATGCATAAAAAATGCATGCAAATGCTCTGGAACGCACTGAAAGTCCATTTTAGGCGGGGGGGAAGAAACGTCCCGTAACGTGGCAAAAACGCTGCACTGCATGTGCAGAAACTCATGCAGATCTGGTGTGCATTTGGTGTGAACAAGCCCTAAATGCTCCCAGTAAATTGACAGCATTGATTTCGATAATGATCATATCTGAGCGTGGTTAGGGCTCTTTCACACCTGCAACGGGCAGTATGGTTGTCACACTTCCCTGTATGACGATCCGGTGCCGCGTTTTACCTCCTGACCGAGCTGCTCGGCTTTCAGCCAATCCTCTCGGAAACCTCTCCATTAAAAGTCCAGCTCACTTGTTCCGCCCCGTTCGAGCAACATGTCTTTACACTCAGTCGGACTCCCTGTCTATCGTTTCAATCCCCTGCCTGCTGTTGTATCCAGCACCTCGGCGCTGCAACTAGCCTCTGTGTCTTTGGCTGCCTGCAAGAGGGCGACACAACCTAGAAGGTGTCCAGCAGCCAATCATCCTCACCATTAGACGCTCCGTCGAAGACCTTCTTAGATTCTATGCCTCTAGTGTGTCCCCGGTAACGCACAGGCACCTACTTCCTGCGTTATCAATGATCTGCATCCCAGGCACCAATATTTGCACGCTACTTTTACTCGTTTTGTGTGCCCCAGCCGACAGAACGTGACAATGGTGCATATAACACACACTTACTGGTGTGCATTGGGAACACAAGATTCTTTTAAACTTTTTTTAAATGACACTTCATGTAACTATGCATGGTAGCAGATTGTGACGTGCTGCTGCGTGATGTAATGCACTGCATTGTATGCCTGCATCATTTTATCACAATGCTTTTTGTCTTGTTATTGTCTTTGTAATAAATGTACATGCTGTGAAGGGAATGCTTGATGACATCAAAGCAGCTATTGAGCCAAGATCATAATGTACCTTTGTTCCATAAGTTACCTTTACACAAGAAACTGTGTCTCAGAGTAAGTCAAATTTAAAAATTGTAAAATGTAGCAACATACTGACATTCACAGCAAGATACATAATAGGAATATTTTACCAGTTTAATCTTAATGTGAACACTATGTTTCCATCTCCCCATGTAGTAACAATCATGGATTACCCATGTCAGCAACACGTGAACTCATCAGCAAGCCCTTTTCACTGTTCAAAACTTCGAGCTTCCATAGAAGTCAGCCAGTGTTCAGATACCTAAAACCATCATATAATGACCCATCTGCATAACAGTAATGTAGACGTTCACATTCATATTGCCTGAGTTTACAAATCTGTTTCCAATGCACCAGCGCTGAGGCCAGACTAATTTTAGAGGAGCAATAGCTATAGGCTGTGAAAATTCAGCCAGTACACCCTTTTATTGCAACCTATCTCTCGTTAATATCTCCAGAGGTCTAAAGGTACCAAAAGACATCTCTGTCATCAAATGCTTCTGCTGAAACTGACAGGATTAAATGATGATTATCTAATGTCTATGGGCACCTTTTGTCTATTCATCTATACATAATTATACATAATTATACATTTTCTCCTGAAGCTGTACTACAGATGAAATTTGAGATTGCAAAGCCTAGTTGTGATACAAAGTCAGTGAAGCATTTCTCTTCATGTAGTGATAAATAAGGGTCTACAGCAGGGCTAAACTATGGGATTAAAGGGGAAATTCCTTCAATTAAACATGTAATAATGGAGAAGAAAAACATGACATGAATTGAGAATGCTGAAAAACATATTTAATACTTTAAACTCACCATTGGATGTTGTGCTGGAGGCAACTGCCTTCTCACTCACATCGGTCCGAGTATGACCTTTCACTAGAGAATTCTCTACTTTTTTCTTTTCACTCATAGTAGTGCTGTGGGACTGTGCTTCCATGTTGACTTCTCATTACTCACAACCTCCCTGTACGAAGAACTGCACAAAACATAAAAGTGGATCCAATTAAAAATGCAAAAACACATCACAGTCTGTTTCTCCAGCACACTCTGGTATGCAAAACATGTTTTAGTTTTCAGAAATAGTGACACCTTACATTAACGATTAATATTCAAAGAATACATGCTCCTCATGATAAAAAATATTAAGCAGTGGTTATGTTATGCCTAAGCCTGCTTAGTCCATTCTGAAGATCTTTCAGCCCCAAATTGTATTCTTGTCAGTCCAGACATTATCGAGAAACAGCAGTTTGAACAGAGGGGTACAAATAGACGCTGCCTGTAGTTGTGTTTTTAAACTGGGAATCCCCAATATTCATCTAGATATGTGTTCACCTTAGCACTTTCTTACAGAAGACTGAGGCCTTCAGCAAGCACATCTAAACAGCTATTGCTACTTTTTTAATTGATAAAACTTTTAGGTTATATCAGTTGCATATGCAAGTGGTAGAATGCCCAAGGTCCCACTGGAGCTCTGGGAAAATAAAAGCTTACATTTGCAAATGTGCTTGATTTTCTGAATATATTAAATGAGCTAAGGTATGGCACAGTTCACGTATCACATTCTATTATCTATATGACAAACAAACAATGCATCAACCAAGAAACACAACAAACCTCTTAAAGGGGAATTATGGGTTGAGTGAAAAACACTCAACCCCATAATTCAAGTTAACCTGTGACAAAGAAGCTGTCACAGTTCGGCTCTGTAGATCGGGAAGTCAGTGAAAACACACTGCCATCGCTGACTTCCCAATCCTCTCCCTGCAGAGAGAGGTGACTGTAGGAATGGATGGGGAAGGGGCGGGCACATTGTGCTCTGCCTCTAGAGAGGCTGGCTCAGCTGTCAATCAGCCAGTGGGGCGGATCTTGACAGCATTGTCGGGATCCGTCCCGGCTGTGGCACTCTCAGCATACTGAGTTTTGGGTCACCAGAAGACACAGTGTATGTCCTCTCCTGTAATTTCTAAAAAGCAAAAGAAACCTTTATTACAGGAAAAAACTGAACTCCAGATGTAAGCAAGGTACGGAAAAACATGGTTTTGTAAAACAGCATATACAAAAACTTAAAACAGTTCATCATTCATGTTAGAAACCATGAACGTGTAATAAAGCTATATTCACTGAAAGCAAATTAAAAGGGAACCACAGTCTTTTAAATGATTTTATACCAATGCATGCAAAGACCTATATTCTCAATGTGTGTTAATTTTAAAATCATTCTTCCTGTGCATACTTCTCAATTTTATGTGCATACGAGCAGCCATATTTCTTCATTACAATTACAAGTATATTTCATTCTTTGTGCATTATTGATCAATTTATCTCACTGCAAGTCAACGAGACAGGATTTGTCTTATTGAAAACAATTCACATTAGTCTCTAATGACTGTTAGCCAGAGACCATGTGATTTCTTTTTTTTTTTTTTAACTGGAACTCCATTCATGGCTGCAAACACAATCAAGCAGCACTTTTATATTGAAAGTAATTTTGTGATTCAGTTATTCTAAAATGTGCCTTTTGGCTTGTGTGAAGCTTCACAGAGATGGCACACATGGGTGGGACAGCTAGATCTTCACTGTTAAGTTTCAGTAATTATTCCTTAATGTGTCAATTTTACTCCAGCATAAAACTTTAAAAAAGAGAATTAAAACATATATTTATAAGTTAACAAGCAAGCAAGTAAATCCTAAACTAGAAGCAAGCAAGTAACTTAAGACAATGTTGTCCTACTGGTGGCTTGCACACCAGCATCTGTGGCCATGGAGACCCTCCGCTAGAGTTGCCAACCCTGTTATACTTGAACAAGGACCAAAGAACTACTTAGTCACAGTATACAGGTGATATGATGGGCGAGTGGCTATCACTGGATAACAGGAAAGTCATCATGTATGGACACGACAGACAGACATCGTTGCTGTATGGGCACACATGGAGAAATACTCTTCTTTTAAATAGGGTCCTTCAACTTTTCAAAAAATGTTCTGGTTCTGCATACTTGAGTAGCTGGACAACACAAACCCAAAACAAGGCCTGGATTTCATATATAAAGATGCAGATCAAAGTTTAAACCCTCTTCGGCCTGGTTCACACCTGAACGTTTCGTAGTGCGTTCAACGCTCGGCGAACGCTCTACAAAACGCTCAAACATCTAAATCCCATTGTATTCAATGGGTCTGGTTCACAACTTGCCGTATTTCCGCCCATCCGAACGCGATACAAAACGGCCTACGCCCAAAGAAGTACATGTACTTCTTTGGGGCGTATTGGTCTCTCGTTTCCATTGGGATACAGCCAAGTAGCCCTCGCAAACGGGCGTTTGTCGCACGTTTTTTTTACCGCGAATGGCGCATATTCAATACGCCTAGGTGTGAACCCAGCCTAAACAAATTCATATTTTTGTTTCTATGATTTCTGTAAGATATACAATTTAGGTAAAAAATAAAATGTCAACTTAAGACAAACAAAAATATTGGCCCCATCCTCCCTTTTTAATTATTTAGCAACCAAATGTGGAATGCTTTAACAAAGCTATATAACTAAGATAAAGACATGCAACTTTTTAATGCTTATTGTTATATACTATATACCGAGATGCTTTTGTCCCTTATGTTGATTATTTACTAGTGGAATGCTTAATATGCAACAACCAAATGACTTCTCAATGTAGTTTAGAAACATTAAGCAGCTCTACCCTCTTGTCTCCAATCACGCTGCTTGAACTTCGGTGCCTGGTAAAGCTTCCGGCAGGGCCTTTACTATGCAATAGGCAAAAAAACAGCACTCGCAAGGGGATACGTCCATCCAGTACTTTATTTGTAAAAAGGCATAACAGCAGCAAACAAACAAATGCTTACATGTTTCCGCCCCCAAACTGGTCCTTAGCTGTAGCCAAAGACTACGGCCCAGTTTGGGGGCTGAAACATGTAACCATTTGTTTGTTTGCTGCTGTTATGCCGTTTTACAAATAAAGTACTGGATGGACGGAACCCCTTGCGAGTGCCGGTTTTACCTATGACTTCTCTATGTATGTTGATTTTTGTACAGCCCTTGGGTCTTACTCAATAAATAAATCATTTAATAAAAATATATATGAATATGTAAGATCCAGATGCTCAGCACTCAATGCAGGCAACAACTGCAATGGACATACAGTATAATGACCACACATTGGCAAATGCAGTCATTCTATAGGTAGATAGTACATAGTAATAGATATAAAAACAGTTTAAAAACGTTTAAGTCCCCTCTCCCACCTGCCCATTGTGTTGTGGTTCATTCCCTTATCTCATTCATTAAAGTGTATCCACACCCAACACCTTTCTTTCAGTTTTGGATAGAGTGGGGAAGGATTAGCACTCCTCTCGGGTTTTACTGCAGTCAGTGGCTCCGTTGGAAAGATTACTTTGCTTTATTTTGGTGAAAAGGTTATCCCAGGATAGGAAGTGAGGGGAAATCTAGATAGTGAAATGCTAGAACTTCTGTCAGTTTTTCAGCATTGTCTATGTCACTGTTACAGATTTTTCCCTCACTTTTTGTCTGGTAAAGGGTTGTCCCCAGAATATAAAATATCAGGTAAATTGTATTGCATTGCATTGCATTGTACGTGACCTATGCTATGAGGACCACAACTTTATAATACTTTACAATGCTATAAAATAAAACAAATATTTGTGTTAGTATTCCACCAAAAAAACGAATTTATCACATATGCAGTATGTAAAATGTAAGTGACCTAAAGTGACATATCACCACCAGAATTCTCAGGTCTGTCCATTAGTCCAACATCAAATGATGGTGCAAGTCTTCATTGATGAATTAATTATTAGGTAGAACACACAAATAAAAATATTCAGCTCAAGAAATTGCTTTGTCTTTGTTATGACCTTGTGGAAAAGGGCAGATTTCCAACCTACTACAGAAGAATCACACCACAGGGGTCTAAATTGAAAAATCCCTTATCAGTGGAGCTGGCCCATAAACTTACTAAGAAGACATATAAAACACAGTGGGAAGGAATTTATCAAAACTGGAGCAGACAAAATCTGGAGCAGCTGTGCACGACAACCAATCAGCTTCTCTCTTTCATTTTCAAATCTTAACTGAACAAACTGAAGAGAGAAGCTGATTGGTTGCCACTGACAACTGCTACAAATTTTGTCTGCTCCATTTTTGATAAATTCCCCGCAGTGGCTTTAATTGTTATCTTCGTTTTCATCATCTGTAGTTGCTGCTATTCTTGCTTAATCCTGGTGGCGTGTTTTGGTTTATTTTGTTTTTTTGGATGGTCTTAAATTTTAACCTATGACAAAGCAGGGCACTATGTTTCCTCTACAGCAGCATTTTTAAATGATGTCCTCTGGTATTGGTATCATGGGTAAGTCTTCCAGACCTCCAGGCACTTTTACATTTATGTTAATCACAGTTAAAAGAAACCCTCTAATAATTTCACCTGGAAAACAAAACCTGTAAACTTGGCCACACAGTCATTCATTTTGCATTCATTTTGAAGTTATGATTGTGATCACAAAATCAATATTGTTTCCAAGAAATGTTCATGTAATGATTTTTATTCTGCATGCCATCAAAGATTGAATTCAAAATTGTTTAGCTATTTCACACATGCTAGAGCCCAAGGCTCGTTCACAGCAACCCAGGCTCTAAAATGCTGCGGGCTTATGTCCACTGTGTCCCCCGCACAGTGTGTTGCATTGTTACAATTCATTGCACTGTTTACATTTTTTTTCAGAAAATGACAGTTCATTCAAGTCTATGCTGAACCTCATAGTAGTGTTGTGCTTGAAATGGGCACATAGAAAACATTTGCTACCTATGAGCCCTAGCATTGGACCTTTGCATCTGTGCAGATCAAACGCAGATGGTGTGGACAAGCCTTCAAACCAACTAAAAGTAAATGCCTCTTACATAATTCTAATTGTTCAAAGGCAATATCAGAATTAGTGACGTGCGCAGGCTTG